GAACTGCTGAACTACTGACCTTCCACAGCCTGCAGTTCAGCGTCTTAACCACTTGAGCCACCGCAGCTCAATGGAGATTACAGCTCCTTAATTAAGGCCCCCGACTGAGGGCCGAAAAAATAAGCATCAAGAAGATGTGGGCGAAATCGGGGGGGGGGAGATGCAGGTCAAAATGCAGGTGCACAGCAAATATGGACAACTGAGCAGTACAAGTGAGGGAGACGGGAGACAGAGGGCGGAAGAACTGCTTCTGCGGGATCGCTTAGTTTCTGTAGCTGCAGCTGTTGTACCTTTCTGTTCTGCCTAAGCCACGCGTTACATAAAGCTCTGGTTGCTATGATGGAATCATCCACAATGATAGAGAATGTGCTCACTGGGAGTATCACCTTACACATTTTAATCTCCAGGCAGCCGAATCGTTATTGCTCACAGCGTTCATGGAAGAGTGGTAGAGGCTCGAAGTTGTCAGCAAGCTGCCATTCTGTTTTCTGTGACCTCTGTGTACATATCCTTACCCTGTTGCACCCGGCTTGTTTCTACTATCCTGCTTCTGTGCTGGAATGCATAAGATAACTACTGGTGGATGTGTGGGGGAGAAGATGCTGTAATGCTTGCCTATTGCTATCTCATGAGAACTGCACCTGTGTTTTGTCTGATGTTCTGCCTGGTTCCCATGGACTGGGCGCGCAACCGTTTCATTAGCCCGCCAGCGGGAATGTTATTCATTGGATATGTATCTGTTTGAATTTCCTTTATTATGCTCGCCCTACCTGTGTATCCCCAGTTCTAACAAAGAACGTGTTTGAGTATGTCTTCAACGCTTTGAAATAAATTTTGCTTTTCTTGAAAACGTGGATTTATTCTCGATGCTTGGGGATCCAACATATTGTTAGAACTCCCTTTCTCCTATCGTTCCGAATCTGGCAAGATCATGAGCGGAGCTGAGGGAGACCTACCTAAAACGGAGGGGGATTCAGGATCGGTCCCACACACCTCCGCACCGTTGGTGTTCACAACTGCAGCCTCGCTGGAGGGTGCCGTGGGGGGAACGATTCCCCGCCGGCCTGCACATCTGTCTTGGCCGCCTCCGACCCCTTCGCACTGGGGTCCACGGAAGACTCAACAGCAGGATGACTGGACTATGTACAACACTCGTCGTTGTGCGAGCGGAGCAGAGGAGAACGGCCCTCCTTGCAGGGAGGCAAGAGCGGGCGGAGAGGGAGGTCCACGCCAGCCCCCACCCGCAGGGGGCCGCCCCACTTACCCCCGGGCAGGGGCTCAGATCCGGAGGCCGCGCGACCCGGTTCCCATGGAGCTCCGCCGCCGCCGCTTCAAACCGACCCGCTTCCCTCGGTCGCGCCCGTCCCGCGCAGGCGCGCCCGATTGTCCCTGCGCGTTGCATTCTGGGAGTCGTAGTCCTTGTCCCCCGCCGAAGCCGGGCCAAGGCACGCATGCGCAACGAGGCGCGCCCTTCTGGGGAGGTTTTTGCAAAAGTTAAGGAAGCTGAGCTCAGAGGTTTGGTCTTTTGCTTTTGAGAAGTGAAACGTTAGTCCAGTGGCGCTTTTAAGGGCTAACAGAATTTATTGTCGCAAGATGCTGGGGGTGCCAGCCTCCAGGGGGGACCTGGGGATCCCCCGGAATGACAGCTCATCCCCAGACTGAAGAGATCAGTTTCCCCTGGAGGAAATGGGTGCTTTGGAGGGAGGGGGGCTCTGTGGCATGGTGCCCCACTGAGGTCCCTGTCCTCCCCAGGCTCCATCTCCAAATCTCCAGGACTTTCCCGACCTGGATCTGGCAGTGGCAAGTTCCAGTGTTCCCGCTAAGCTGAGTCAATGTGAGCTAGCTCACAGTTTTCTAGCCTCCGGCTCACTCGTTTTTGCCCTAGCTCAGGAACGATGGCTCCAGAGCCAACTAATTGATGCAGCAGCCAAGTTGCTCGCTCACCACTTGAATGCCAGGAGCTCACAAAGCAGAATTCTTGCTCACAAGACTCCACAGGTTAGAGGGAGCATTGTGTTCCCTCTAAGCTGAGTTAGTGTGAGTGAGCTCACAGTCTTTTAGCCTCCGGCTCACACATTTTTGACTTAGCTCAGGACAGATGGCTCCAGAGCAAACTAATTTATGCAGCAGCCAAATCGCTCGCTCACAACTTTAACGCCAGGAGCTCACGAAGTAGAATTTTTGCTCACAAGACTCCACAGCTTAGAGGGAGCTTTGGTAGCCACCCTATGGGCCCCCCCCCCATCCCCTGCCAGTGGGGAGGGGGACCTGGCAACCCTACACCTTTTCTCTTTCAGGGTTTGCTGTGTCTCATCTTTGTTTCTTTTGCCTTTACAGATGACGACCTGCTTTTGTAGAGTTTGAGCTTTTTGGTCTGTTTGGCAGAAGATTCTAGATGCCATGTAAAGTCTGGCTGACTTCACTCTTCTTGCATGACCTAGTTTTTTTCTTTTTAAACTAGAATTCCTGTGCTGCACAGATATGTTTTAAATTAGCAAAATGCACATTCAGGCTTTAAAGCATACTTAATTTATATTTTTGTTTACACCAGTTGCAGGCACAACAGATCACAATTCCATATAAAAGAGTATTCAGTCTTGCTTAACGTGAACACAACATACATCCACCTAATCCAGATTCTCAGCAAAAGCCATAGTAACCTGGCTCTAGCTGATCCACCATAACCTGGTCTTTAGTGGACCATGGTCTACCTGCCCATTCCACGTATAGTGGACTGCCATGCCAGAGAGCCAATCTGGTGTAGTGGTTAGGAACACGGACTCTAATCTGGGAAAACTGGGTTTGATTCCGCACTTCTCCACATGCAGCTGCCGGTGTGACCTTGGGTCAGTTACAATTTATTTCAGAGCTGTTCTCTCACGAGCAGTTCTCTAAAGAGCTCGCTCAGACCCACCTACCTCACAGGTTGTCTGTGGTGGGGGGGGGAAGGGAAAGGAGATTGTAAGCTACTCTGAGACTCCTTTGGGTAGTGAAGGACGGAGTATAAATCCAGTCTCCTCCTCCTCTTTGTCTTCCTCTTCTTTTTCTTCGAATGGTGGTGGTGGTAAGGGGTGTCAAGTTGTAGCGGACTAATGGTGACCCCGTAAGGTTTTCAAGGTGAGAGACTCTCAGAAGTGGCTTGCCAGAGCCCTTCTGGATCAGGCCAGTGAGGGTCCATCTAGTCCAGCAGGACCAATTCTGCAAAAGCGGTTGTTGCGCCCTTGATCTCCTGCTTCCCCAGATTGTACTGCTCAATTTCCCACTATTTGCTGCGTAGCCGCATTTTGACCTGTAAACCCCCCCCAATTTCCCCCACATCTTCTTGATCCTAGAAAATAAGGATCAAGAAGATGTGGGGGCAATCAGGGGGAGATGCAGGTCAAAATGCAGCCGCACAGCAAATATGGACAACTGAGCAGTACGACTTAGGGAAACGGGAGACAGAGGGCGGAAGAACTGCTTCTGCGGGATCGCTTAGTTTCTGTAGCTGCAGCTGTTGTACCTTTCTGTTCTGCCTAAGCCACGCGTTACATAAAGCTCTGGTTGCTATGATGGAATCATCCGCAGTGATAGAAAATGGGCTCACTGGGAGTATCACCTTTCACATTTTAATCTCCAGGCAGACGAATAGTTATTGCTCACATGGAAGAGTGGTAGAGGCTCGAAGGATCATCAGAACATAAGAAGAGCCCTGCTGGATCAGACCAGTAGGCAATCCAGTCCAACATCCTGCCTCTTACAGTGGCCAACCAGCTCCTCTGGAGGTCCAACAACAGGGCAGAGAGGCCGAGGCCTTCCCCTGAGGTTGCCACTGGGATTCAGAGAACTAGAGCCAGTTTGGTGTCGTGGTTAGGAGGACGGACTCTAATCTGGGAGAACCGGGTTTGAGTCTCCACTCCTCCACATGCAGCTGCTGGTGCGACCTTGGGTCAGTCGCGAGTTCTCTCAGAGCTGTTCTCTCAAGAGCAGTTCTCAAAAGAGCTCTCTCAGCCCCACCTATCTCACAGGGTGTCTGTTGTGGGGAGGGGAAGGGAAAAGAGATTGTAAGCCGCTCTGAGACTCTTTTGGGTAGCGAAGGGCGGGGTATAAACCCAATCTCTTCTTCTTCGTCTCTCAGTGTGGAGGTTTCCCTCAGTCACCATGGCTAGTAGCCATTGATAGACTTCTATGAATCTATCAAATCCCCTCTGAAAGCTGTCTATTCCTGTGGCCATTGCTACATCCTCTGGCAGCGAATTCCACGTTCAAATCACTCTCTGTGTAAAGTAGTGTTTCCTTTTGCCTGCCCTGAACCTACTGCCCGTCAGCTTCAATGGATGCCCTCGAGTTCGAGTATTTTGGGAGAGGGAGAAAAATTCCGCTTTGTCCACTCCCTCCACCCCGTGCATCATTTT